GCATGGCGGGAATTGAGAGCCTGCAACCAAGGTTTGTGCCCTTGACTGGAATCGAACGTGCGATCCTTCAGTCCAAGGGCCGACACGCTAACCACTGAGCCAAACCGGCTGGGGCTGAGTTGATACTTCTTGATGTGTCCATTACATAAGTGATGATCATTGGAAATGAGGATGCCAAGGCCTCAGTGATGATTGTCCCAGAAGCCGACCAGCTGAATACTTCAATCTGCCCAGGTGTGTCAACCAAAACATATTTATACATGTTCTGGGCCTTCTCAATAAATTTCATCACCTGATCAAATCTGGTAGCAAAGAGATTTAGTGAGGTCACTATGCCCCCATTGGACCCAAGTCCACATTGTTTCATGACTTTATACTTCACAGTGCAGGAATATCAATATTGGCAGGGAAGAGAACACGCACAGCTGGGTCCAGATTGATCATATGAGGTGGAACACCTTGCCTATGCAGGTGTCCTGTGAGCCTCTCCAAGTACTTCCATGAAAGCAGGAACCTTGTCAACCTCATTTTCGCTGTATCCCCAGTGCCTGTACTTGAGTCAAACTGATGACAATTACTAGGCAACAATATCTCAAATGCGTTTAAACAAACCCATCTATTGGGCTTTAAAAAACAAAAAACAACAAAAAACAGGGCACACCTGTATTAGAAAAGTTACTGAAAGCAGAGTCTGGTGATGATGTATCACTAATTTACCCTTCATTTGTTAAGCATATGATGTTCCTTTTAGGGCCAGCTGGACTGGATTAATGGTTCAATGCTTGTCTGAGTGGTTACATGAAGAGTATGTTTGTAAAAGTTTAGCTTTCTTTTGGCAAACAAATTCAGAAATGTTTGCCAACCTCCCTGCAAAGAAGTCCCCCGAAGTTTAATTTAAAAAGAATCACTCAATAATTCCCACATCATCAAAGATAAAATACTATAAAGTATTTAAAGGGTAATGGGAACAATGACTTGTTTGGAAAGTATGAAATGACGAAATGGTAATGTATATCTGGGGTTTCTATCATAATAAAAGATAAATCCACCTTTATTAGTATGCAGTCTATACCCTATAATATTGCTTGTATATATCCAGTATCTATGAGCTCAACACTAGGCCTGGTATTTTGTGGAAAGCAAAAAGAGCCCAAATTCATGATTCATACAGGGAGTCAAATAAATAATCACTCTGTGTAATCTTTGCCTGAGCAGTAAAACAAGCTGTACTGTAGAAGCTCCAACCTCAGGGGTGCCACACTGCTCTTTGCTAGTCCAGAAAAACCACATGGGGGACCAGAGGGGAGAGACATCGCCTTTATTACTTACATAAGGGAAGACCCAATGATGGCAGCCAGTAGGGTGAGTTTTGGCGTCAGGCAGGGTCCAGCAAGGGATTATCTAGCAGCTAGCAGAGGGGACAGGGAGGGAGCTGTGCTGGGAACAGCCTGCATCCCAGGGCCAAACAGAGGGTCTGGTGAAGCTTGTTAGCTGTCAAGGACATGGGAAAGACTGAGATCCAAGCTTCTCTGCTCCTTCTGGCTGCTGGCCAGGCGGATACCTTTCCACCAACTGGGAAGAGGAATTGGGCTATATCCTCACTTTACACTACACAAGCCATAGTT